CCGGGAGGGCTGGCGCGGCCGGGGCAGGTTTTCCGAGTCCTCGGGTGGACCTGAGCCGTGGAAGAAGACCGGGGACAGATAAGAGGGGTGAGGGTGGAAAAGGGTGGAGGATGAGGATCGCGGCCCTTTGCCCACTCCAGAGCTGAGAAGGCCTGGGACTTGGACTTCATGGGGGCCGATGCCCCTTGGTTATTTGGCCTCCACTTCTGGAGCCCCGGGGCTTGACAGTTACTGGGGGATCTGACTGCCCTCCAGGTTTCCTTTCCAGAGTTGAGCCACTTTCTCCAGATCACAACGCAGGGGTGCCTGCAGGGAACAGTTACTGAGCGGTCTCCCTTATCTCCTCAGAAGGCATCAGACTTCAGGAGGGACACCTTACCCCATGTGACCCTTTGGTCCCCTCAGATTCCTGAAGGCATGGGTTGGCCAGGACAGTGGTGACCCCAGAATTGAGCATGGACGACTGGAAGCCCAACCCCCTCATCAAGCCCTTTGGGGCTCGGAAGAAACGGAGCTGGTATCTTACCTGGAAGTATAAACTGACCAACCAGCGGGCCCTCAGAAGGTTCTGCCAGGTATAGAAATGTCCCAGATCTCCCAGGAATTCCCTCCCCACTCTATCTTGGCTGCCTGCACCCTAGGAATGGGCAGTGGGTTCCTAGAAGGAACCTCTTTGTGTCATGTCCCTATAAGGTAGTGCTTTAGGCCCAGAGTTCTGGAATCAGAACTCACGTACAACCTCTGAGTCTCCGACAGAAACCTGAAGTCTGCCCAGGAAGACTGCTCAGGGTCACACACCTGTCAGGCACTCTGGGCTAGGAACCAGGTTATCTGATCCCAGCTTGGTTCTCTGGGATTGGCTGCATCTCTAAGAACTAATTGTGGAGGGGACCAAGGAAGTCAAGGTTTTAAATGGAAGAATACAGGAGGTCTGGGTAGGGAGGGCCCTGGTGAAGGGGAAGGGTCAGGGGAGGTTCCCTGGAGGAGGTTTTGGTAAAACTGGACCCTGGTTGGGGAAGTTAAGTTGGGTAGATAGTGGGAAGAGAGACAGGCCCCAGGTCCTCCCCATGACCTCACTACACCCAGGGCCCTCCTTTTGGGAAGACCCTCATTGGTCTTCCCACTGAGCTTCTCGTTAGTTGTCCTCATCCCTCCCCTCAGACAGGGGCTGTGCTTTTCCTGTTGGTGACCGTCATTGTCAACATCAAGTTGATCCTGGACACACGGCGAGCAATCAATGAGGCCAATGAAGACCAGGAACCAGAGCAAGACTATGGTAAGACCAAACTGAGGATAACGTTGGTGGAGAGGCGTCCCCTGGGATCTCAAGGCCAAAATGACAGGTCCTAAGGGATGCCAGTCTGCTGGAGTGATTATCTCCTTGACCTTTTGCACCCCCACAGATGAGGCCCTGGGCCGATTGGAGCCCCCACGGCGCAGAGGCAGTGGTCCCAGGCGGGTTCTGGATGTGGAGGTATACTCAAGTCGCAGCAAAGTATATGTGGCAGTGGATGGCACTACGGTGAGTGGGCCAGTGTCTGGTGTGCTTCGTTCTATTCAGGGTGTGACTCCACAGGCATTGGGATCCACTGCTTGAGCAGAAACTGTACCTCTGCCAGCTTCTAAGTGCAGTGTGCTTTTGGACTCCTCATTTTCTCATCTGTAGACTGGGACTGACGATCTCTACTTTTGAAGATTAAATGAAAAACATCTGAAATGTCTTATTTGTAGAGTGAGATATTATCTAAAGTGGTGGTTAGTATTACTAGGCAGATAATTCATTGATTTATTTCATAGATACTTCCCGATCCCTTCTTTGGCTTCAGTCTTGTCCTAGACCCTGGGAACCTAGAGGTAGCAGACCTGGTCCTGTTTTGTGGGGTTCGGTCTGATGGAGTGTAATATCCGCAGCATGAGGGAAAGATTGTCAAGAGCTCAGGGAGTCATGGAGAGAGGGTGTAGAAATAAGTGATTTCCATCAGGGTTGGAAGAGAACTGTGTAAACAGGCACAGGCAAGAGGAGAGGGCTCATGAAGTGTCCGTAAGATAGAGCTTGAATGTGACATTCAGTAGTTCAGTTTTGTCTCTGCCACCCTGCAGGTGCTGGAGGACGAGGCTCGTGAACAGGGCCGGGGCATCCATGTCATTGTCCTCA